TGCATTTCTGTTGTGTCTGCATTTCTATTGTGTCTGCATAAGTTGTCAGTAGTTATCTTTATGATGTTATTGATTAGTTGCCAGCTTAAAATGTTCGGTCAATGGGATGAGCCACTCACTCTACTCAAAGTCCTTTCAGTAAAAATTTGCCTTTCCTAAAGTTCTTCAGCTTCTCTGTATTCTGCACTGCAGCTCTGCAGGAATCTTGCCTTAATGTCATCCCCTCTCCCAAACGTTGTTCTCCTCCATTTGTGGAGTGGCTGAGGGGTGCGAGACCAGGTGCTCCAGTCAAGCACTTTCTGTCCAGGGGGTTTCTAGTCAGCTCTCTTTCTCGCAGCCCAACATGCAGTTTGAGATAGCTGAGAAAGTTTGTAGCTTTCTGTCCCAAACTCTCTTCTGTTTGGTACCTGAGATGACCAAGCAGCCATGGAGACAAGGATTCCCAAATGGAGGCACCTTGCCCCAGAGAAGTTTCAGTCCTCTCTCCCCCCAATAAAAGTGTTTTGAGTAGCTATTTAAAACACCATTGTGTCACTGTTGTAGAATGAGGCTGACATCAGCGTGGGGGTAAGACTGAGAAAAACTGGATCAATTATGTATACTGCATTGAAGCTGATGAGAGAGAGAACAGTTTAAAAGTAATATATTTTAGGGCATTATGATTATCATAAGAGTTCAGAATGAGGGTTGCAGAGTGGAGTCTACTCAGGGTGGGGGTGGGAGGGTGTGTGGGGATTGTATACCAATGAAGGAGTTTTACTTTTCAAGGAGAAGAGCAAACTGGGGGTGGGGGTGGGGTGGGCAGGGAGAAAAGTGCAACAGTGAATGAATGAAAATCCAAAATCTCTATAAATGTTCATTGAAATTAATTTAAAAAAACACACCATTGTGTCTCCAAGGAGACAGACTGCTCACACAGAGATGATTACCAACGCTTGAGCTCCCTGGAAGAACAGCAGGAGAAAACATTCATGTATAAGTAGATCTGTGTGGTTCAGACTGCATTGAAATGTTATTTAAGGCTCAACTATGGATAGAAAATTGGCCTGAATGTATTCCCTGGATTTACTGCATGCTGGACTCTGAGCTAAGCACTAACAGATTGAACCACATTGAATTTTTTTTTTATTAATTTTAATGAATGTTTACAGAGACTTTGGATTTCTATTCATTCATTGTTTCATTAAACCACATTGAATTTTGACATAAGAGATACAAATAGAATATAGAAATATAGTGAAGCTCATTGATACATTAAAAAACTCAAAAGTTGCCAAATGTGCTGATTTGTTGTTTCAGTGCTATAGTTGTGCACTTTGAGGCTTAAACTTGTTTCAAAGCTTAGACCTGAGAAGAACATAAAGCATTGAAAACAAATAACAGATGTAAGTAAGTTAGATTGTCAGGGACTTGACTTTAAAGTTACCATCCTGTTAGATCCCACAGTTTTTGGAGGATCCAGGAGAGTAGTTTTTTGATTATTAGGAAATGGGTACCTATATGTTCTAATTTTTGAAAAGACAACCATTTTCTGATTGGAATTTAGTAATATACGGTTCCATTGTACTTTATTTGTTAAGGCCTCTACTTAGTTGATCTAATTAGTTTTATGGAGTACAACAAAACAACAAAGCTAACAAGTTTCTTATGTTTAGAGGATTTTTAGACTTACCTAGAGGTAAAGGGTCAGGTATCTGCAAAGGATGATAACATGTGGCTGTGGCAGTAGAACTCCTTGTGAAGGAGATGGCTGCGAGACTGGGAAGACTTTAGGAGCCCAATGGAGATAACTAAAATTGTATTGGCTTGGTAATTAATTGCTTTGGGGTGGACACAATTGATTAAAAAAAATAATCTATTAAAAGAAAGGTACTAATATTATTGTGTACCATCAAGCTCATAGCTGATCCTCCCTCCAGTGGGTTTTCGGTAAATTACACAGGAGATTGCCCATCTTTTCTCCACAGAGCAGCTAGTATATTTTCAAACTGTGTGCCTTTGGGATGGCAGTGCAGCTCCTTAGTAAGTGCAAATACAATTAATTGAGGCAGTAAATTGAGAGAAAGTGTAAAAGTCAGTTGGACTTTGTGGACAATCAAAATGAGGAGGAACTACAGAATGTTTTGCATTCTTGGAGTGAGATGAGCCTAGAGTAGTGTCCTAATTCCATCAAACTGATGTCTTTATTTTTCACCTCTCTGAGTTGTCCTGACTTTCAAGTTATTTATAATAACAAAAACGCACATGTAAGTGAAATAAAATAATGATTAATGCAGCAACAAGTATTCTGCTTGGCCTCACCTTGGAGAAAGATCTGAGACCAAGGATCAGGTTAGTGGGTGGGGGCTAGAAATATCCAGAGAGAGACTGAAATCCCTCTAAAGGAGACTCAGAACTTCTAGAAGCTCTGGTGGCACATTCGTTAAAGCACTTTATTGTTAACTGAAAGGTTGGTGATTCTAACGCACAACTACTCCATAGGAGAAAGATGTGGTAGTGTGTGTGTATCTTGGCAACTCTACAAGACAGTTCAGCTCTGTAGGGTTGCCGTGAACTGGAATCATGTGACAATAAGTTTAGACCTTCTGAAGAGTAAATCTCCCTGGAGTATTTTCACGAGTTTGGTCGTAATGAGTGTCAGTCGGGTTATTGTAAATTTCATTTGATCTGTCTATTAGTGGTAATTGTTGTTGTGTTTTGTCAAGTCAGAACCAACTCCAAAAGGTTGTGGGAGGCAGTAAATCACACGAGAGGAGAGTGCCCATCCTTCTCCTATGGAACAACTGGTTGGTTTGAACTGTGCCTTTGGCCTCTTTGGCCCCTGGGATGGCCCTACAGCGGTGGAGGCAAGCATCCTCAGATGAAGGGACTACAATCCAAGGGAAGCCTCAGTCCCATCTCCTCACAATCAATGGAGAGTGCTTGCTCTCAGCACAGAGCCTCACCTCCCTCACCTTTTCTCCTGCATGCAGCCTAGTGTCTTCCTTTGTCTCTGGTGTGGTGTGAATCAGGACCACCAGCTGAAACAGCTTGCATGCAGGAGGTCTCAGGTCAGCCCTCTCTCTCTTAGAGAGCTAAGACAATTCTTTCCTCTGCTTGTAGTTCTATATAAAAAGTGTCTAGTCCTGTTTGGCCCCTGGGATGGCTCCACAGCCATAGAGGCAAGGATCCCCACTAACTGTACCTTTGGGATTGCAGCCAGAATTCTCTAAGTGTAAGTTGCCTGAGAATTTTAATAATCATCTCTATTGTTCTTCTCCACCACTTGCTTTGGCCTAAAAAGCCTTACCCTACCCAGAGCAAGTAATAATAGAAGTAGAATTTAAAATTAAACAGGAAAAACAGAAAGGCGATTATAACAAATTAGGAAAAACTGCCAGAGTAGCAGAACATACAAACCCCATTATCATTTCATCAGAGAGCAGTGGTGGTATGGTCTGTAGGGATTGCACTGCTAACCCAAAGGTGACTCCTCTCTGGCCCTTCATATTCACTAGTGACACTGAGCTAGAAAGATGTACAGTCTCCTCCTTTGTGATTTACAGCCTCCTCAAAACCTGGTGGAGGGTCAGCTGTGAGTTGATTCCAACTTGATAGCAGTGAATGAGTTTTATCGTTTTATCAGTTTGTTTTGCAGATGCCTACAACATTGCTCACAGTGACCTCTTATTCTTGGTAAGGGAATTTAAAAGAAGATAGCAAGAGATTTTTTTTAGCTGCAGCATGCCAAAAGACTCTCCTTCATAAGACCCTGTGTATAAAAAGCACATTCCCTGTTGTTGGGATCAAAGAGTGTATTGTTGATATAAGAATGGGAGTGCAAATGGATTATATCCATAACACCTTTGTTGGTGGTTGTTGTTGTTGTTGTTGTTGCAACAACACCTTTGTGTACAACAGCTCTGAACCCTTCTCTATCTTGAGCCAATTTCATTTTTTCTGACACACCTACCCCCATTACCCTAGTCACTGAGTCAGTCCATCTCATCCAGGGTCTTCCTCTCTTGCACTGTCCCTTCACCCTTCCAAGCTTAATATCCTTCTCCAACGACTAGTCTCTCTTGGCAACATGCCCAAAGTATGTCAGATAGAACTTCAAAGTATTTGCCTCTACGGAGCAGCCTGGTTTCACCATCTCCAGGACAGACCTGTTTGTTCTTTTAGAAGTCCATGGTATTTTCAGTACTCTTCTCCAACACAACTCAAGGGCATCGATTCTTCTATCATCCTTTTTTGTTTTTTGGTTTTTTTTCTATCATCCTTAGGCATTGTGTAGCTCTCTGATGCATAGCAAGTGATTGTGAAGACTTTGACTTGGATCAGGTGTACCTTAGTGCCTGAACCACCTTAGTCTAGATTGATATCATTGCTTCTCACTATTCTGGAGAGGTCCCTGCCAGAAGATTTTCCCAATGCAATTTGTCTTTTGATTTCCTGGCTCCTGGTACCAAGAATGTTGATTGTGGAGCTGAACAAGATGAAGTTGTTAATAATCTCAGTCTCTTCTCTGTCTATCATGATGTTGTCATTTGGCCCAGTGGTGAGAATCTTTGTCTTCTTGATGTTGAGGTTCAATCCATATTGAAGACTACAGTCCTTAACTTTCTGCAGCAAATACCTTAGTTTCCCCTCAGTTTTAGCAAGCATGGTTGCATCATCTGCATAACGGAGGTTGTTGATGAGTCTGATCCTGATGCCACATTCTTCCTCATAAAGTCCAGCTTCTGGGTGATCTGTTTGGCATATAGATTGAAAAGGTTTTTACAACCTTTTTCTAATGATAAGAAAAGGGAGTTGGGCAACATCATACACTAAATTTTCACTGAAGCCCTGTATTGCAGATACTGCTACATTTGTTCACTGTATATGAAAAGAATTCATAGTAGTATCTTTTAATACTATTTATTCTGAGATTTGGTGCTATTTCTAGAGAATCTTGTTCTTAATCTGCCGTATATAATATGGACTCTTATGTTAATGAATCTTTTTTGTGTTTACAGAGCTCTAGATGTTTTGAAATATCAAGAAGTTGACATGGAGTTATTAGCCAAGGCTGTGCCAGAGCCTTTGAAGAAGTACACTGATTGTAGAGAGCTAGCAGAAAGACTGAAAATAGAAGGTAGAAAACAATTTTTTTACCTAAATGGTTACATATCCTCTTTTACATTTGTATAAATTGTGAGTGGACAGCAACTCAAGTAGAGCTATCCCCAGAGGAGCCAGTTTTATATCATCAGAAAACAAGTCCACTACCTTTGAATCATTCTCAGCTAATAAGGACACCACAGGACAGAGTAGGCCTGTCCCTTAAGGTATTGGAGACTGTGAATCTTTACAGAAGTTCATTGACTGATTTGTTTCCCTGCAGAATTCAAGTCATTCAACCTTGAGTTTCTCAGCCACACATTTCATGTTTTCATCCCTTTGCAATCAGGGCTTCTTATTTTTACTATAAATGCAAACTTGCTACGGTATTCCAACTCTTAGCAACCTTGCTCTGGGTTTCTGAGTCTGTAAATTTTACAGGAAAAGATTGTTGATCCTTCATCCATGGATCGACTGGTAAGTGTGCATTGCTAACCTTTTAGTTAGTAGCCAGACTTAACTTACTAATCATTCTTCTCGGGTTCCCATTTGCAATGGAAATACCTTCAATCCTTTTTCCTTAGAGACTAAAGTTGACTTGTGTTTGTGCTCTTAATTATGTTGAAGAATTTCTCCTCTGTTTTTTTCTTTTTGAGTAGTTTTATCAGGAAAGAGCATTGAATTTTGTCACATGCCTATTCTGCATTGATACGATCTTGTAATTCTTTATTATTTTATATGTGGTAGATTAGCTGTTTTCTTATGTTGAAACACCCTTACATATCTGGTATAAATCCAATTTGATTATGGTGGATAATTTCTTTTTATATTATGTTAGATTTAATTTCTAGGATTTTGTTGAGAAGTTTTGTGTCTGTGTTCCTGAAGGATATTGAGCTATAATTTTATTTTTATAGTAGTATCTTTGCCTGGCTTTGGTATCTTCCATCCTAAGATACATTTGGAAGTATTCCTTCTTTTCCTATAGTCTTTAAAAGTTTGAGTATAGTTTCTATTTGCAATTTTAGTTTTATATATAAATCACTAGGCTCAGATTAGAATAATTCAAAACAATTTTCTTTTGTTTCTATGAAAGAAACCCTGACCTCTTTTTTTTTTTCTTCTTTTTTTTAAGAACAAATTTTATTCATTCATAGTTTTAGGATTTGGAAGTCTGAGTTCAAGGCACGAGCTCTTGGGGAAGGTTCCCTGTGTCCATTCAGGGGGAACATTCTTATCTCCATTTGTATGACTCCAGATCCCCTGTTCTTTGGTGATCTCTGCGTGCCACCTTTTTCACACACTTTGTGCTGGCCTGAAACCCTAACTTCTTTAACCATAGAGTAGCCACTGTTTTGATTTGTTCTTTAGTTCTGAAATGTTATTATATGGCCAGGGCTTAAGAGAAACTGCAGTAGTTTAAAATACCAATTACTGTTTAGATCCCCTAACTAGATACAAACCTGCATGAGGGTAGAAATCCATGTCAGAATTTATTTTATGTCAGCTCTTATATTAGAAACATTTTTTTAAATTAATAATTGCTAGCATTTGTATTGCCTCCTTATTTATGTTTTGATACCCTAACAACTCTATTCATGAATCATAAAATTGTACTTAAAATGAGTATACAAAGCCTTTTATGTGGATAATTTGAGAACTTTCAATGTTATTAAATGTGACTTTTCTCAAATTTCATTTGAGAACATTCAATGTTATTGTCCTACTTTTACAGATAATTGGTAGCTTACTAATTCATGCAGTTAGTTTGTTGTTGTTGTTGTTGTTGTTATGTGCCATCGAGTCGCTTGCAATTCATAGCGACCCTATGTACAACAGCCCTAAACTCTGCTCTGTCCTGTGCCAATCGCACTGTCTCTGACACTTACAGAATGTAAAAAAGAGCAAGAGCCATGTGGGAACGGCCATATCTGACCTTTACCAACTTCACAAAGTGAACTCTCCCTGTCAGCAAAATCAGCAACACAAACCTAGGTTCCCGCTCCATCTCATGTCAAGTCTCTGTTGTCCTTTGCTTCACTTGTGGCTGCTCCTACCATAAGTGTAGCTGGAGCAAGAATGTCAGGTCCTGAAGGGTGTCTACATGGTCTTGCTGCTATTGCTGCTGCTTCTCTTCTTTGCTGATTAAGAGGGTCTCATCTGCTACTGGAGCCGCATAATTTATTGGAAAGACTAGCTATTGCCCTTGTAGATTGGTGAGACTGGCCAATTCCCATGTGAATGGGCTAACTCACCCCATTCACGTATTCCCACCCATCCACATGATCAAGTCAGATTTGATGGCTGGGAAAGTCATATTAAAAGATAAACTCCACACAGAGCTAGAATGTGACTTAGATTGTTGGACCACAAAGCCTGTTCACTTCATAAAGATCCTGATTAGTCCAAGATAGTCTTTGTAATTTCTAGATGAAGAAATTAAAATTCAGAAGGAAAATTATATAGGCAGAGAACAGTTCATTGGTGAAGCTAGAGCCAGTGCTGGGACTTCCTGGCTGTCAGTCAAATAATGGAAGCAGACTCTACCAAAACATTTTAAAAATTGTGTTCTGGAACAGAAGAGAATGACCACTTGTTTTTTGGTAATACCATCTCGGACAAGAATCTTGTAACAAAAGTTTACAGAATATTCCTGGTCCTCCACAAGAAAAAGACTGATAACCCAATTACAAAATGGGTTAACCCAATTACAAAAAAAGACATGGAAAGAATTTTCACAGAGGAAGATATTCGAATGGCGAACAGACAGATGAAGAAATGCTCCAAATCACTGGCAGTAAGAGTGATGCAAAATAAAACTACAACAAGGTACCATCTCATTCCAGTAACAGTGGACAAGTGCAGCAGGGCAGCAAGTAACAAATGTTGGAGAGAATGTGGTGAGAAAGGAACTCTTAATACATTGTTGGTGGGAGTGTAAAATGGTACAACCACTCTATAAGGCAGTTTGGCATTTCCTCAAAAAGCTGAACATAGAAATTCCATATGACCACTACTTGGAATATACCCTGAGAATATGAGAACTGATGCACAAACTGAGATTTGTAAACGAGTGTTGATAGCATTATTCACCATCTCAAGAACATGGAAACAGCCCAAATGTCCAACTACAAACAAATGGATTGAGGAGCAATAACTTTGTAAATTATTACCTACCCTGGGAAGGACTGGAGAGCATTATTCTCAGTGAACTAACTCAGTCCCACAAGAATAAATATGGTATAAAACGATTATTGTAGATTGAGAATAAGGATTCAAGAGAGGTGGGAGCAGAGGGATGAGGATATGCAGGGGGAGGGGGATTAATCATGGGGTTGTACAGTTTGATGGGTTGGGGGGCTGAGGAAAATTGAAAGAATCAGTTCTCTAAAAAATGTATTCAAATTTTATAAATAAACTAGTGTAAAATTTTTTAAAAGGGTTTTTAAGGGAATACTGTTGGCTTAGTAATAAAGAATTGCACTGCCAGCGGGGGGAAAAAAAATTAACAAAACAGATTCTCTGGCCTATATTATATAATTGGAGCTCTGGTTACCTAGTGGTCCCCAAATTGTGCTTCCAACACAAGGCTTGCAGTTCGAATCCACCAGCTGCTCCAAGGGAGAAAGATGGACACTCTCCTCCTGTGCAATTGATTGCATCTGAAAACCTGCTGGTCAAAGGGTCAGCTTTGTTTTTTTTAAGGATCAGCATTGAGTTAGTTCCAACTGGAAGGCACCTAGCAATAGCAACATATATTAGTGTAAAAGGAAAATAGTGAAAATAGCAGATGTTCTACTTTATCTAAATATAACTACAATGAAAACAAATTTTGTTTTAAACTGTACATATACACACACAAATATAGTTTTAAAATTTGGTTTTCTAGAAACAGAATGCTTTAATTACAAAATAATTTTTGGATTGTCTTTCTAACATTTCTTGTGAATACAAACTTAACTATAACGGTATGTGTTATCAGTCAAAAAGTCCCACTTAAAATTATTAATTCACTTGAGCATCATTCAGAAAAGGAGCCCTGATTACATAGTGCACAGCATGTCAGGCTATATTTATGAAGGAGAAAGATGGGTGGTCTTCTCTCGTAAAGATTTACGGCCTCAGAAACCTGATGGAGGGTCTCAGTGGGTCAAAATTGGTTTCAGGGTAGTGAGTTTGAGTTTGAATTCAGAAAATGGTTTTTCTTGGAGAAACATCTTATTTTTTGATGTCCTAAAATTCGTATCTACAATGTGTTGAAAGAAATGTTCTGACCAAAATTTCACAAAGAGAGAAAAATGTCTTTTCACTTTACATTTTTCATATGAATGAAATGAAAAAGAAATACATTAAACTATCAAGCAGATGTGTCATTAATACTCAAGCTATCCTTTCTCTTTAATTTAGCCTTGTTTCCTCATATGTGAAAAAAAACACCCACTAATCTCACAGTGTTGAGATGATTGTTGAATGAGATGGCATATATAAAAGTTCTTTGTAAATTGTAAGACTATTTACATATAAATTGTTAATGTCATCTGAATATCATAGTATAATTGTAATTTTTTTGTTCCCCAGCCACTTATGAATCAGCATTGTTCCAACAGCAGAAGGAAATACAGGGAGTTCAGCTAGATGAAGCTCTCCAACTGCCGAAAGACTTAGATTATTTGACTCTCAAGGCTGTATCCTTATCCCAAGAAGCTCGAGAGAAACTACATTTCAGTCGCCCACAGACGGTAAGGAAGTAGAAGAATAGGAACAAATTCGTCTAAAGTTCTATCTCTGTGTATGATAGATTTATGAAAGATAATAAAGATTAGTCTGGATAAATAACTGTAAATCAGGCATTGATTTGATTGTAATTGTTCTCTAGGCCCAACTATGTATTTAAATCATCAATGTAAACTAGTACATATGCTTAACTTTAAAGAAACTACGTTAAGTTAAAATATAACACATATTGTCAGGGATTTTAAAATCACTACTTGGACTTTCTCTAGTTCTGTAGTGTAGCTATGCAAACTACCAGGAACGGAAAATCTCTCACTTTATGCTTTAGCGCGCGCGCCCGCGTGTGTGTGTGTGTGTGTGTGTGTGTGTGTGTTTGCATTTGCACATGAGTTTGTACACTGAGACACACACACAAATGAAAACTATTATATAAATAATAATGGTCTTCTAAGAAAGAATATATGAAGATTAGTAGGCTGCCTATGATTGATTCTGAGATGTATATGTTTTTACATTTTAACATCTGAAATTAGGTTGTATCTTAAAAATTGATAGTCACCATTTAATGAGCAAATATTTTTAAAATTGTGGTTCATAACATAAAGGGAGTTTCTTTAAATGATATGTTAAGAAATTGGAAAAATGTGACTTTTAAAGAGAGGCATAATTTCATCAGTATAATGTATTCTTAGCAACTGTCATGAAAATGAAAAAGTAATCTTGAAATTTTTACAGCTTTGTGTATTCTGTCAGGGTTTTTTTAAATATTTTTATGAAGTATTCATAGATTTGAAGTATTTATAGATTGTATTGTTTAATATAGAAGCTATAAGCTAAGTATGGCCAATTCCTGCAATTAAAATTAATAAATGTTCAAGTTCGGCTCTTCAACCACACTAGCCTTATAATCACTAGTGGCTACTATCCCAGCAAGTGCTCAGTTAAAATAAAACACAAATGTTAGAACAAACACCCCTCATCACAGAAAGCTCAGCTGGACAGTGCTGTTTCTTTCTCATCAACTCAGAGCCACAATTCCGAAGTACAAAAACAAGCTTACCCAATCTGGATGTGAAATTAGTCTTACACTATTAATCAAAATATTCACTTTGAAAATATACCACACAGAAATAGTAGTGGTATTAGGAATATTATATTACCCACCTGCACCTCAGGGAATGTTAAATTATATACAGTATATGTGTCTTGTTAGAACACATATGACTCAAGAATTTCAGATAAAGGACTGTGAACTTATATTTGAAGAAGGGATGTCTATTTAGTTTAATAAAAAGAAAACATAGATAATGCAAACATTAGTTATGTGATCTTCAGAAAATCATTTTAACTTCTTTGAGCCTCAGTTTTACCATTTTTAAATGAATAATAATATTGTATAGTGAAAAATAACTAATCATCCCACTACCTTATTATTTAACCAAGTACATAGACCTGTAAATAGACAAAGAAGTACTTGTTCAAGTAGAACAAGAGCATACTGCATGGTTTATAATCAAGAAAGGTACATGTTAGCATTGTGTCCTTTCACTATTCTTTTTTTTTTTCCTTTCACTATTCTTATTCAATGTGTATATGACTGTGCAAAGGCATTTGACTGTGTGGATAGTAACAAACTGTGGCTGACTCTGAGAAGAATGGGAATCCCAGAACACTTGATCGTTCTAATGCGAAACCTATACTTGGATCAAGAGGCAGTCGTCAGAACAGAGCAAGGAAACACTGCCTCGTTCAAAATTGGGAAGGGCGTACGCTAGGGATGTGTCCTGTCTCCATACCTTTTCAACCTGTTTGCAGAACAGATTTTCTGGGAGGCTAGGCTCTATGAGGAGAAATATGGCGTCAGGATTGGTGGAAAATCTATCAATACTCAGCATTTTGCAGATGACACAACCCTGCTTGCTGAAACTGAGGAGGACCAGAAGCACTTGCTGCAGACGGTCAAGGACTGCAGCCTTCAATATGGATTGAGGCGCAATGTCAAGAAAACAAAGTTTCTCACCACTGGACCAATTGGCAGCATCAAGATGGATGATGTAGAGAGAGATTGAGATTGTTCACAGCTTTAGTTTGTTTGGCTCGACAGTCAACACTCCTGACACCAGCAGCTGGGAAATTAAAAGACATATTGCGATGGCAAAGTCTGCTCTTAGGGACCTCTCCAAAGTACTGCAATGGTGTCTCTCTGGAGACTAAGGTGCGTCTGATACAGGTCATGGTCTTTGCAATCACTTGTTATGTGTCAGAGAGTTGGACAATGACTAGGGAGGATAGAAGGAGAATTGATGCCTTTGAGCTGTGGTACTGGAGAAGAGTATTGAATGTACCATGGACTGCTAAGAAAAAAAGCAAGTTCATCCTGGAGAGAGTTAAACCGGGCGGCTCCTTGGAGGCAAGAATTCTGAGGCTTCGTCTGACATACTTTGAACATGTGAGGAGGGACCGGTCCTTGGAGAGGGACATCATGCTTGGGAGGGTGGAAGGACAGCACAGGAGGGGGGGAAGGCCCTCTATGAGGTGGATTGATTCAGTAACTGGGGCAATTGGGATGGGTGTATCGGAGACAGTGAGATTGGTACAGGACAGAGCAGAGTTTAGGGCTGTTGTACATAAGGTCACTATGAACCGCAAGCGACTCGACAGCACATAACAACATAATATTGAGCAAATAATTGGAGTATTTGGATTTATAGAAAGAAAAATGTGACATCAGGATTGGAGGAAGACTCATTAACAACCTATGTTATACTTAACCATGCTTATGGAAAGTAAAGTAGCTTGAAGCACTTTCTGAAAAAGATAAACTACAGCCTTCACTATGGATTATACCTCAACATAAAAAAAAATCCTCACAACTGGACCTATAGGTACCATCATAATAGATGGAGAAAAGGTTCAAAAAAGGTGTCACTGATTTGATTTTGCCTAGATCCACAGTCAACATCCATGGTCGTGTTACATTTGGAAAATCTGCCATCATGGATCGTTTTAAAGTGTAAGGATATCAGTTTAAAAACTGTGTTGCACCTGTATTTTCAGTTGCTTCATATCCATGTGAAAGGTTAATGGGAAAGCTAGTAGTCTCAGTGAAGGGGATGTAACCATTGAAGGAGGCAAGAGAAAATAATTGTAACCTCCCAGGTGCCTTTCTCCAAAAAGTACTTGAAATATCTCACAAAAAAAAAAAGCTGTAAGTAAAACAGTCCATGTGATTGGTTGTGTATTCTTGCTAGCAGCAAAAAAAAAATTATGAATTATGCTACTTTTAGATTACCTAGTAAAGAAGAGTAAGAAGATGAGGATTAAACCTTCAAAAAGACTTAAGGTGTGTCTGACTCATGCCATGGTATTTTCAATTGCTTTGTATACATATGGATGTTGTGCAGAGAGTAAGGAAGACCCAAGAAGAATCGATGCTTTTGAATTGTGCTGGTAAAGAGAATTGAATATACTACTGATTGCCAAAAGAACAAAAAAATTTGCTTCCGATAAAGTGCAACCAAGATGGTGGTATATTCATTTGGGGCATGTTGTCAAGGGAACTAAAGTTTTTGGACATGGTCATCATGATTGGAAAAGTAGAGTCAGTGACGACCCTCAGTGAGATAGCTTGACACAATAAGCGCAACAGTAGGCTTGAGCATGGTGGAGATTGAATATGATGGATGATGGGGATTTTGATGGTTCAAAATCAGGAAAGGTCTATACCAGGGATGCATCTTATCTCCATACCTTTTCAATCTATATGCAGAACATATCATCTGGGAAGCTAGGCTCTTTGAGGTGAAATATGGCATCAAGATTAGAGGAAGACTCATCAACAACCTACATTATGCAGATAACCTTGCTTGCCGAAATTGAAGAGGACCTGTAGCATTTGCTGCAGAAAGTCAAAGACTGCAGCCTTCAATATGGACTGAAAGAAGTTCAGCATCAAGAAAACAAAGATTCTCACCAGTGGCCCAGTTGGCAGAATCATGATAGATGGTGAAGAGATTGAGATTGAGCTTACTTGCTTGTCTCCACAGTCAACACTTGGTACCAGCAGCCAAAATTCATCAAAAGATAAATTCCATTTGAAAAATCTGCTGTCAGGGACGTCTCTAGAATATTGAAGAACAACAATGTCAGAGTCTTAAAATGTGCCTGATACAGGCCATGGTCTTTGCATTTACTTGCTATGCATCAGAGAGCTGGAGAGTGACTAAGGATGATAGAAGAACAATCTGTGCCTTTGAGCTGTGGTGCCGCACAAGAGTATTGAACATACCATGGACTGCTAGAACAAACATGTCTGCCCTGGAGAGGGTGAAAGTAGGCTGCTCTTGGGAGCAAGGATTTTGAAACTCTGCCTGACAAACTTTGGGCAAGTTGCAAGAGGGACCAGTCCTTGGAGAGGGACATGGTGCTTTGAAGGGGGGAGGGGGAGGAATAGTGCACAATAGGGAGACTTGATGAGATGAATTTCCTTAGTTAGTAGGGTAATGGAGGTCAGTGTGTCAGAGACAATGAAATTGGCTCAAGATAGAGCAGGGTTCAGAGCTGTTGTACATAGGGTCGCTATGAGTCAAAGTTGAAGTCACCTTGATAGCACATAACAACATGAGTAGACAGCATCTAACAATAATAACAACAACTTAACAAAGGTTGTTTTTAAGGTGGTGGTGGTGGTGGTTGTTATGTGCCGTCGAGTCACTTGCGACTCTTAGTGACCCTATATACAACCCTATGTACAACAGCCCTAAACGCCATTCTGTCCTGTGCCAACCTTGCCGTCTCACACTCTTCCAAACATCATGTCCCTCTCCAAGGACCAGTCCCTCCTTGCAACATGCCCAAAATATATATGTCAGACGAAGCCTCAGAATCCTTGACTCCAAGGAGCATTCCGGCTTCACCCTCTCCAGGACAAACCTGTTTGTTCTCCTAGCAGTCCGTGGTATATATTCAACACGACTAACTGGAAATCTTTTATAAACTATATTAAAAGAAAAGGGGTGGGGAAAGAAAACACAATTTCATTTTTATATAGCTCATCTACATTTCTCTTACGGTTTTATTTCTTAGATTGGAGCTGCTAGCCGTATACCTGGAGTGACGCCCGCTGCTCTCGTCAACCTGCTCAGATTTGTGAAAACCACTCAGCAGAGACAAGCAGCTAAGGATGAATTGCCTAAAACTGGTGAATACTTACGTGATGCAGACAAACTTCGAGAGAGAAAGATCTAGCTTTCTGTTCATAGAAGACTTTTAAAGAGAAAGTGAAAAATGTGACTGAGTATAGATAAAAGAACTATTTAACACCTACCTGTTAAGTATCCTTACTAAGTTATTATGATTTGTCATTAAGATAGGAAAAGGACAGAAATTATAATTGTGTCATTTTGTGTATCTAAAAAAGTAATTGCACACGTAATTTATACTGGTTTTGTTGGGTTTGGTTTTTTGTTTGGGTTTTTTTGTGTGTGTGAGAGCCTGAATACAATAAACCTACTCATATAATGTGCAACATTCATTCAAGAGAGCTATCGTTTTTGTGTACCATCAAGTCAGAACCAACCAATTGCTGACCCTCCAGTGGGTTTTCAGAGGCTGTAAATCATATGAGAGGAGATTTCCCTCTTTTTCCCATGGAGCAGCTGGTGGTTTCAAACCATATGTCTTTGGGATGACATCCTATCTTCTTACCACCAGAGCTCCCTAATAGTGCATGTAAATAAAACTAAACCTGAAAAAAATTTACCTGTTCCTAAGGACTTTGTCCATTAAGTATATCAAAGTAAAAGTCCTAGTTTTCACTTTGTTTTAAAAGTTAGTAATCTTATACCTGCTAAGGCTGGTTCTCAGGCACTAACAAAGATATATTAAGTAGTCAACAGATCCTTAGGGCTTAAAATTGAGGTTATACTCAAAATCATCTAGAATCATTTGGCTACCTTTTAATATGGAAATTTAAATGTACTATGCAAGATGAAATTCAGCTTCTAGGATTTCTGTACTTCTACAAGTAGTACATCTGTAGTCATGTTTGAACATTAATGAACACTTATAAGCTAGAAATATTGTAAATTACTGTAGTATTTTTAATCATAAAAAATGTGAAAACTTGATAACCTGATTAGGGGATACTAAAGTAAAATGAGTGACTTTTGTATCATACAATAAATATATTTTTCTGAGAAACTGTCAGGACTTTAAACTTTAAACACAATTTTAAACTTTAAACATTACAGACAGCTCCACAGCAACTCATCACTAGAGTCTCCCTGATTTTAAATCAAGCAGTGAATAGAAAAGCCAGAATTCTGCTGGCATTGCTATTCCTCTTTGATAATAAAATGGTGTGGTCACCAGGACTAAGATGAGATAATCAGCTGGGCCCTTTGCATGACTCCTCACCCATCTCAGCCTTTTTGCATAGATTAGGGGATGAATACAGCCAAATGAGCCAGCAGGGCTGTGCCTGTCCAGAGAAATGCCATCCTAATCTCTCTTGTCAGCCTAGGGACAAGGTCTGATGTCAACTTCAGACTTAGGACAGTTTCAAGGGCCCCAATATCACTTTGGCCGCAGATCTGTGTGTTAAGCTTGTCCAGAGGCCTGATTATGGGTGTGCAGCAGCCAACTATCGTTGGTTTAGTCACATACAGTCATTTGGATGTAGCTCAGTTTGCATTTGTGATATCAAATGTTTGTTGTTCAGATTGCTTTCCAAGCCTTTGATTAACCTTTTTTTTTTGAGTGATGAAGTATGTATTGTATTGTATTAGGAGATGGGATTAGGGTGGGATACAAGTCCCACTCTACCATTGTCGTCATTGTTGATGGGTACCATAGAGTTGGAACTGACCCATAGCTGACCCTCCAGCAGGTCTTCAGAGGCAGTTAATCTCATGGGAGGAGATTGCCCGTCCTTCTCTCACGGAGCAGCTGGTGGCCTCGAACCATATACCTTCGAAATTGCAACACAGCTTATTGCCATTGCCACTAGGCCACTAGAGCTCAAAAAAGGCCTATACAAATTCATGGAAGCGCAGTACTCATACTGTCTTGGTATGCTTACTCCCCTGGGACTCAGCATCCACCTGCAGCACAAGTGAGAGTCAAGAGGATTCTGGCCCATCACTCACCAGTCTCTGCACCGCTGGCCTGTATCACCTACAGTCGGGTGGGTCATTTGCCTGACAGGTTTGAGTTTCTGAGGCCCTCCAGTCACCCACAGAACCCAAGGGACATAAAGGAGCGAGGAAACTGAACAAAGGAGAAACAGCTGATGTTGGAAATCATGGAGTGGTGCAGAAGGTCAAACATTTGGGACATTGTTGACTTCGCCTTTCATAGCTAGTCTGCTGCTAATCTTTGCAGAACAGGTTGGAAGTGCAGCATGTATTTGTTTCATCTCATTTCAGCTTTCCCAGAAGGCAGAGCAGTACCAAGCAAAAAGTGCAGTGTAGGATCAGGTGGAATGATGAATTCTTTTTGACACTTGATTTTAAGGAGGCAGTAACTCCTCCTATAGTTGTTCTGGGCAGAATTCTTTGTGATAGACGGCACTGATGGTAGTAAACCATTTGGCACCCGGTGACTCTGACTCAGTGGTTTCACAGGCCAGAGTAGAACTTCTCCACAGGATTTTCAAGGCTGTAAATCCAGGACACAGCAGCTGGCAGGTTCTAACCACAGACCTTTTGGTTAGCAGCTGAGTCATTTCACCATCGTGCCACCAGGTCTCCTAGTGATTATAGTATTATATAGTATATAGTCCAGACTTCCTATTTTATATTATAAATCACTGTTTATAAAGCTTTGAGAGGGTTGTCTCATGAAGTATAGGAGTGACAGCTTTGGTGGCCTAGGTGGGTAAGGAGTTGGACTGCCAATCCAGTGGTGGGCAGACAGAGTCCACCAGCTCCTCAGGAGTAAGGTGGGCAGTCTCCTCCTGAGTGTACTACAGCTTCTGCAAACCTGCTGGGAGGTCAGCTATGAGTTAGTTTTGGGGTTTTTTGTTTTTGTTTTAATTTTTTTGTGTGTTTACCATCAAATCAGATCTGACTGGTACAGGAGGAGATTGCCCCTGCTTCTCCAGTAGAGCATCTGGTGGATTCAAACCACATACCCTGGGAGTGCAGTGCAGTTTCTTGCCACTAGGCCATCAGAGCTCCCTAGAGTTGGTTCTGACTTGACAGCACAGAATAACAACTACAATAGCAAAATTAACAAGTTACTAAATGGAATAAGTTTTGGAAGAAGTTCCTAAATGTATTGAGAAATTCTTTTTTTTTAAACATCAAAAATATTTTAATTTTTTCCCACTATTGCACATTTTCTCTCTCCCTCCCTGGACAGTTCTTTCCCTCATCTGTTCTAATTCAGTGTTCATTATCTATCCACTCTTTGCCCATTCTCTCTGTAATTCCCCTATGTCTGCCCAACTTTATAACAGTGGTGTCATGCAGTACTTGTCCTTTTGTGACTGAGATATTTCACTCAGCATGTTGTCCTCCAGGATCCCCCATGGTGTGTAATGTTATACAAGTTCATTGTTTCTCAATGGTGGTGCATTGAAATTTTTCAGTGCTGCATATGGTATATTGTGTGAATGTATCATAGTTTTTCTATCCGTTTGTTTGTTAGTGTTTACTTCCATCTCTTTCTTATTGTGAATAACACCGCAATAAACATAGGTATACATACATTCTGTTTGAGTCATGGCTCTACTTATTTAGGGTATATTTCTAGTAGTAAAAACAATGGCAAACAATCTTTTATAATTGGAATATGGAAAGTACATAGCTTGAATGCTGGAAGACTAGAATTGTAAAAAATGAAGTGGAACACATGAACATCAGCATTCTAGATGTTAGTGAGATGAGATGGACTAACTTTGGCCACTTTGAATCAGATATACCATGCTGAGAATGAAAAATAGAATAGTGTTGCATTCATAGTCCATTTCAAGTTCTGTCTTGAAATATACAGTTTTGTGAGTGATAGCATATTATCCATATGCTCACAAGGAAGACTTGTTAATACAACTGTTTTTCAAGTATACGCTCCTACAGCCAAAGCCAAAGAGGAGGAAATTGGAAATTTTTACCAAATCTTGCAGTCCAAAATTCACCAGACATGCAATCAAGATGCATTAATGAGAATTGGTGACTGGAATGCAGATGTTGGAAACAATGAAAAAGGAATAATACTAGTCAGAAAGTGTAAACTTGGTAACAGAAATGAGGATAGATATAGAATGAGTTTTGTATTTTCAAAGATTTATTCATTGCAAATACCTTTTTAAAGAAACACGAATAGCAATGATGAAGATAATAATTGATGTGTTCTAGCAGCAGAGAAGAAGTGGCTTTAAAAAAAAAGAGGGACTCTGCTGTTTTACTCCATAACTCTGTTTCTGCAGACCAAGTCTATTCTCTTAGAAAACAACCATTTGCTTCCACTACATCCTGACTGCTACAATATCATTCTCTTTCTTCTTTCATTTTCTCCTTCTTCATTCCTTTTTTGTACATAAAGTAATTAGTGCATGTGCTCACGCATATTTCATGGATTTATGGTTGTTGTGGGGCTTTGTTTATTTAGCAGAGTTCAATAGAACAGCAAACAACAAATGCTGACGAGGTTGTGGAGATACTGGAACTTTTATTCACTGCTGGTGGGAGTGTAAAATGGTGCAACCACTGTGGGAGGCAGTTTTGCACGTTTTCAAAAAGTGGAAATAGAAATACCATTTGACCCAGCAATTCCACTACTAGGAATAAACTCTCAAGAAACCAGAGCTGCCATCCAAACAGATATATGCACACCTATGTTTATTGCTGTGTTATTCACAATAGCAAAGAGATGGAAGCAACCCAAGTGCTCATCAGCAAATGAGTGGATTGAAAAACTATGGTATATTTACACTGTGGAAAACTATGCAGCACTGAAAAACAAGGGACTCATAAAATATTACTCTGCATTGAAACAGATGAGAGAGAACTGTTTAAAAGGGATATATGATTAGGTATTATTGTCATGACAGGGGTCCAGAATGAAGGCTGAATAGTGGAGTGGACCTGGGGAAAGGGATTGTATAACATAGAATTTTTCTTTTACCTTTCAAAGAGAAGAACGAACTGGAGAGGTGGGGGTGGGCAGGGAAAAGTGCAACAATGAATGAATGGAAATCCCAAATCTCTGTAAATTTTCATTAAAATTA